CATATGAATGTGATAGGGTTGTATATTTTAAACTCTGCCAGCTCTAGACGGAAAGTTACACACACTACGCCTATATTTTGTTATCCGTTTAACGTGCATTTGGAAATTCCATTTTCATCAATATTTCCTTCCTTCTGTGAAAATATATCTTTTAACAGACAGTAGTAACAGCTCATTATACAAAACAGTATTTTCACTCCAATTTATTTTGCAAATTTCATCCGTTTCTGACTACTTCATCTGAACGAGTATCATAAAGGTGTATGGTGTGTCTCAAAGTATAATGTTTTGGGTTTTGATGGACCGTCCCCCAAAAAATAATTACGTACTTCGTAGCAATTGTTACAAGGTAAATCCAACAATCTATAATTTAAAAAGCTTCGTATATTACTAATTTTTCCATTATGTATGTCGCAATCACTGGCCATTAGATGCAAAACAAATTGTGAAAAATGTTTATAAATGTATAATAAGTCGAGGATTTATGAAATAAGCTCTAAAAGAAAAACAGGCCTGTCCTACAGTGTGCTACAGTGTCTTGAATTATAGCGAAACTGGAAAACAGGACCAGTTGGAGTTGCGGGTGTGGAAAACACAATTTCAAGGACTGAGATCCACGCCATTATCAGAAACGCTGAGGGAGCAGATGCAGTGATTCCACTACTTCACATTTACCAAGAATAATGGAATTGATTTAGATATTTGTCTTGGCTTCTGATGGATATTCTACGAAAAAGTAATTACGATCTTCATACCTATTACAGGATAAACCTAATAACCAATTATTTATTCATAGATAAGGGACATGATAGAATCAGTTGCTGTGTTACCTCGCGGTTAATGTATTACTATAAATTGTCAATTAGATCGCGTCGAAATCACTCAAGATTCAAGACAAATTTTGGAAAATGTGTATGAATAAACAGACGATTCAAAAAACGAAATGGTTCCAAAAATGCCAATATCGCAAATAAATGATATTGTTAGCAGTGATTACTGAATGAAAGAAAAAACGTACTGATTATTATGAAAATATATTATCTTTATCAAAACCATATTGTTCCTATATTTGATAAACTTTAATAGAAGCTAAAAGAAGATGAAACCAAAATACTTATGAGCCTTGCCACCCCTCTACCAAATTAGATATTTGACGATTTTTAAAAATTTGTTCAACATAATTCGACACAATTAGTAAAACACTGTTGTTTTTTTTTAAGTGAAAAAATGCATTTTGTTTTTCACTTGTTAAGTGTATTGTTAACCGTTTTTGAAAGATAGACCATCTAGTAGGCCGCTGTATCATTTTTAATACAAATAAAAACCCTACCAGAATCTAGTGCATATTACAAAATTGCATATAATTCAGGAGCAGTGCGCTGTTTCCCCTAACCGGTCAGCCGAATCTAATCCTATTTATTAAAAAAAGGTTATACCCAATGAATTCGCAAGTTCAGGTGGATTTCTTGCATGTAATACACACAGTTTAGCAGAGCTTTCGATAAATTATAACTTGTTACATATCTATTATCGGTATTGAAGGCGATTTGCTTCGTTGGATCACTTCCTATATGTTTTTATCTAATCCGACGTTTTGACATTAATGGTATGTTATTGAACAAGTTTGATAAACGTCGTTTTAGTCACGAGTTTGATTTGGCACGAGCGGAGCGCAGCGGAAAGAATGTTCAATAAACCAGTGACTGAAGAACTGTATTTTAAAAAAACTTTTTTATTCAATAAATATTACGTGCGTTTCGGCCAAAAAAGTGGGCCATCTCTAGAGATATATTGTAAATAATTAAATTAATTTGCTTCTTGTAAAATATTATTTGAAAAACGAATACTTAAAAGTCAGATAACGGACGAAGACAAGTCGATAGACAACAACTACATTATGGTTTTTCAGGCCTATAATTCATAAGTCATCGTAATAATAAATAAATATTATTCTCATGTCAAATAGAGTTCTAATAGTTGTTTATCCGCAATTCGTATTTGAATCTACCTAAACAATTGAATAAACAATTGATTTAAATATATCTTACCGACCACATACACTCAATGTTAAGATGTGGCTGCTGTGGAAAATCTTTGATTCGTTTCACTTTGAATTCTTAATGATGGTTTATAATTGTAGAGTGGTATAGCTGATCGTTTATATAATAATAGTTTGTGCCCACTATTTAATGTTATTAAGTTAATAAAATTATCCCCATTTCACAAATTTTATACGTTTAAAAACCCCTGTATAATATTTTTCTCCGATATACGAATGCATCCGGCAAGTCATTAATTAAGCAATTTCGTTCACGAATACGAAAACATGTGCAGGTGTCAAAATAAAAACACGACCAGACTCGGGTCGTTATAAAAATTAGGACGCATTAAGCAACTATAAAGGAAGTCGGTTACAAGTGCTTCATGTTTTTTCACATGGCGACTCTTTACCCAAAGTTATCTAATAAGTAGTTATCACCTCGTAAAATTGGTTAGCTGAGATAAACTTTGAAATTTTATTTTCTCCCTATAAATATTTAAAGGTAAATTTACCTGATTGGTAACGGATAAGTCCTTTTATTGCTTTCATATCTCGGAAGAGGATCTTTCATTCGGTGTAGATGATCGCGCATGTATTAAGAGAAACGGGGTCAATGTCAGCGAGACTCCAAATCAATCCAACAGTTCGTTTTTTTTAAAACTTTACTATTACTGCGATCCAGTAGCATTATTAGCATCTTTACCAAATTTCCTATTCCTGAAACTCTCAACATCATTTCAGATATATTAAAGTCCGAGAATCTGGAACCAAACCTTCTCACCTTAATTGAAAAATGCTTGTCTGGAACATATTGGAACAAACGTCGGGAACAGCTATGGGTTCTCCACTATCACAAGTCATTGCGAATATATTTATGGAAGCCTTTGAGAAGAAAACTCTCGACACCTTTCATCTAAAACCTAAATTATGGCAACGCTCGTCTATGACACTTTTGTTGTTTGGCCTCATGGTCAAGAAACGCTAGTAGATTTTCGTAGACATTTAAACTCTATACACCCTAACATACGTTTTACTATTGGGTTGGAAACTGACCTTCCATTCTTAGATATTCTTATCGATAGAAAATCAGACCTAACATTGAGTCATTGTGTTTACAGAACACCTACGCACACAGACCGATATCTTAATGCATGGTCATATCACCATCCGGTCCAAAAATTATCGGTTATCATTTCTCTTGTTTACAGAGCTGTAAAACTATCTCAGCCCGAGTCACTAAACCCAGAATTAAAACACCTTACATTTGCTCTTCTCTTTAATAATTTCAACATTAAAGATATTAAGCGTTCCATCAAAAAATACACGTCACCACAACCTTCCAATAGCAATGAGACCGACAGCAATCCTTCATTTGCCACTATGGCTCATCCTTACATTCAAAACATTACTGACCACATATCAAAAGTTCTAAAGAAGTATAACGTCAAATCCAGATTTACCACTTGTCCAAAAATTTCTCGACATCTTCGGTCAGTCAAAGACTAAATTCCATTTGAGATGCCAGAAATATACAGTATTCCATGCAAATGCGGCAAAGACCGGTCGAAAAATATCAACTAAGCTCAAAGAACACGAAAGAGCCGTACGACTAAGACAAATAAACTCATCAGCTGTTGCCGAACACAATCACGAAAGCGGACATACGACAAATCCGAGAGTCTATAGAAATCTATAAACAATCTAACAATCTTAACTCAGGTCTCTACCTGTCACCAATATGGGAATCAGTCATCCGAGACGGTGTTTATGTCCCTCATTTAGTTCCGCCCCCCTCAAAAAAATGCGAGCCAGTTTCAGTCAAGCTCTGAAGAGGCCAACAGGATGATTGGCGAAACGTCAGCAAGTTCGACTCAGCAGAAACCGACACAGGAGGAATCCAGAAGTTTTGTAAAAAGTATATAGATTATTTATTTATTAAATAATACAATATGATGTTCTTGGTGCCTATTAGGCTTTAAACAATGATCAATAATGCTCTCGTTATTCTATGGGATCGTATTAGAATAAGGCGATCTATTATATTAAGGAATATTCATCGAAATCGTCGCAATGGCCGTGCCCGAGTTCAATAGATGAGATAAACTTGATGGCTACTCCAAAGCTTCCTCTATAGAAGCCATTGTTTCCTCCGCAAAACTCGTAAAATTGGCTGCAGCATTCTGAGAACAAGAAGTCTAAGATATCACGATCTTGTGATGTCTAGGGCGTTCAGAACCTGTGCGACGCCTGTTTCAAGCTCACAATGCCCTTTTTCGAAGTGTTAGCTGAGGAAATTGACGATGACCACGAAATTTTGGGAATATCAGTTTTTAAACCGGTAGAATTTAAGTTAAAGTTTATAGTGAACAAGGACTTTTTTGTTTAAACTTGTAGTATTTGGATATTACACATCAGTATTTCTATAAATTTCAACAACGTTAAATTAAAACGGTTAGAGCGTATTTCTGATAAACTTGTGAACAACAATATCAATTAATATATTTTAAACATTTTAATTTTTTTGAGGTCAACTTACATTTAGATATCCGCCAACAGTTAGTATAAAAAATATAGCATCAAATTAAAGGAACGGATACGTTGTGTGTTTATATTGAACGCTCCATATGCAAAGGGTTGACACAATTAAGGGCATTCACAGCACAGGTAAAACCGATATAGGGGTGTTCCGTTGCCCCGCCGCTCGACTTTTCGAGTGTTTTATTTGTTCAAATAAAGGGAAACGTTCGTTTATTTGCGTTAAAACCCATAATTGGTTACGTCGTTATGCCGTATTAAATTTACGGTATATTTCCTAGATTTCAATACAGAAAATGTCCCCCGACCCCCGCCGGTTCACGGCATCCGTCTCCACAACATCACATCGAAAGACGTACAATGCTCAACAACTCTATTTATCTCTCTTCCGCTCACGTCCCAATCCTCTCAATAGACTACACACACATGTACATGTATGGCGTTCGACATATCCACTAGCCGCCCGTCCTCCCGCTCCACACCCCCGCCAACTCCGCACATGTGTGTGCGTGTGTGGCATACACGGGGCGTTTCCATGACGACGCCGGGGCATGTGGGAGGCCGCGAGGGAGGCAGGGTGAGATTATCCCCGACCTGCATCGATAACAGGGGCTTGCCGCTTCGCTCAACCATGTCGCAGGATGCTGTTCACTGAGGTATACAGCAGAATTTTGTATTGATAGATTTGTGTGTATGTGGATATGATTTGGTGTTGCAAATATTCGAGCTGAGTTTTTGAGACAAGTTGAAATTCCTGGAACTTGTAATTATACCCCGGCTGGACATCTCCTAGACACCATATCCATGTGAACTTTCCAAAAATAAAGCAAAAAGCATGGCCTTCAAGAGTAGAGATACAATAAGATCAAGATACAAATTAATCATTTATTTATTTATCAACGGGCCAACCGCCCAATATAAAATAAGATTCACATAAACAAAGTAGTAAAAAACAAAATAAAATAAAATATAACAAAAACAAAACAGTATGAAAAACAAAATAAAATAAAATATAACAAAAACAAAACAGTATGAAATAGATAGATAAAGATCGAACCCTAGTATGACAAACATTGGTTTTCCAAAATATTAATATTAATATAGGAGTCGACAGTAGCGAGGTATCAACACATACAATACTATTCAGAAGTCAGGCAACGGAACTGTATCACTGACAGTCTTTTAGTTCCTTCTAAGATATTTGTTCACTCTGGAAGCAGTCAAGTTTGCCCGAAAAGTGATTTGCTAGTGCGTCTGATCTAGTACGAAAAGAACTCTGCCCATAGTTAGTACAATACCTTAAAGGAGTGGTTTATTTTGGTCTGGCGGGGAGAGAGGAACGTGAAACCCAATCTTACATAACAGCTCATGACAATTTAAGAGTTGTAAGTTGGAGAGAGTTTTCCAATTCTGAGTAATCGACGTCCTCAAGTATTAGGTGCTCCTAAAATGCTATATACCGCAGGAACCTATGCTGCACTCTTCATGTGGACGTTATACGAAGGTGACCACACACAGGAACAATAACCCAGCTGTAGATGCACGAGGGGGCAGAACAGTAATCTGAGAGACGGAATACTCTGGAAGTCCACCGTATAACGCATAATAAAGCCGAAAATCTAAAGTGATTTAGATACAATAAATGAAACATGGTGTGTGTAAGTAACACTCCAAGATCCCTTATTATGTAGACCTGCAATAACGGTGACTCTTTTTTGTTATGAGTATAATGGGGTTCTGCTCCCGTTGAAGTTCATTAGTTGGCATTTATTAATATTTAGTTTAATTCCATTGAAATCGCACCATAGCGATAAATCGGATGGGAGTTTTATGTAGCCATCAGCATTTTGAACTTTCATATAGAATTTTAGGCCTTCAGCAAATAATAGGAAAAATGCATGATGAAAACATGAGGCAATACCAATATATTCACATATACATAGGGGTTCCAGGTGTGATCCTTGCAGAACACCAGAAGGCACTTTAATTTCGGTGGATTTGAAGCTCTGGACAGGCACAATCTGCACTCTTTCAGTAAGGTACAATGTTAACCAATCCAAAAGTTTTATCTGGATCCCAATATTTTACAATTTTTTGATTAAGATTTGATGATGTACTCCATCAAATGCCTTTGAAAAGTCTGCGTAAATGGCATGAACGTGAAACCCTCCTCCAATGATTCTAGCAGAAAATCCGTAAATGTAAGCAAGTTTAACTCAGTGGAGCGATGGGGGAGAAATCCAAATTGTTGGTCGATAAATGAAACTTTTACGCCAGCAGATAAATAGTCGCAGAATAAACCTTCGAATACTTTAGGAATACAGCTCATGATACTAATGGGCCTATAATTGTTGACTTGCGAGTTATAGCCAGATTTTAGGATAGGGGTAATGAAGCTTGATTTCGAGTAAGTTGGAAAAGTTCCTGTTTTTAAAGATTGGTTAGCGATAATATAAAGTCTAGAAAGTATGAAGCTGCAATGCTTAATAAGATATGGTGGGAAGCCATCGGTACCGAATCCTTTGTTTTTTTGTCGAGTCGACAATTTCTCATAAATAGATGAAATCGAAATGTTCAAGTGTGAAAGGCTGACACCTCTAACTATTTGGAGTGCGATATAACATACATTAATAACTTTAAATAAAATAGGTGTTACCATAGGAACTTTGAGAAAACAGTGCTTATCAGTTCCATATCAGTTCCAACCATGCTGTATGTCAGAGACATGGCTAATTAAAAAAAATGTAAATGAAGTCAAGAGATGTGCAATGCTGGATCACAGAAACACAGATATCAGAAAATAAAGTAACTGTATATCTAAAGAACTAGTATTCCCACGTACAATAGCACTAAATTATAAGCCCAGAAGAAGAAGTAATGTGGGACGACCCTTAGCACAAGGTCAACGGCATAATATGGTCCATTCCGATTTTATGGCTTTGGTAAATAAACTTATCCAAAGATACGTTGTACTAATGTATAATGTACTAAAGTTTACTGTTTACTGACCGAGTATCAAAGGATTATTCTGACACAATCTTTATCTAAGACTAGATTAATTTGATGTGCAGTTTCATTAATTTAACTTATGTGAATAACATTTTGATTCAACCGATATGAAATTCAAGTTAATTCAGAAAACGTTGCCGACTATTCCTTATGGTGGAGATATGTCAGGACAAAGACAGGTCACAGAAGCCCTGCTATGCTACACAGGAATGGCCAACAATAATGGTAGATCTCTAGACGGGCCACTGCCAGCTTCAGCTTCAGGAGCTCGAATATATGGAGTCTAATTAAAGCGATAAATCTATAACTATGGGGAGAGTCACAATAGATCCTTTAAGTTGCAGTGACGAACATGACAATTGCCAACTCTCACAATTTTAGAAAGATTATGAAGTGATTTTAAACTGGGTTGAGAATGTATATTTTTGATCTCAGAAATTTGGTTCAACTTTGGGTTTATTTTTTCTCTATATTTGCTAGGGTATTGTATCGTTCAATGGGACAAATAATGGTATTTTAGACAGTGGCTTTAAGGCAAGATCATTGAATGGCTCTGGTAGCTATAGTGCTCAACTTTACAGATTTATCGGCCCTACATTACATTTTTTAAAACATGTCCGCATCAAATAGAGCTCATTTTATTTAAATATTTTTAATCATTTCGATAACATATTCTATAATATTATGCTCTTTCTTAGCTATTATTCTCAAAATAATGGTAGGGCTTCTTCAAAAATACAAATCGTTACATATAAAGTATTTGAAAACAAACAAAAAAAAATAACAATGCAATTTTCTCAGTAGCGTAGAATTGAGGCCTTTGGAAGTAGCCAGAAAGGTTGATTTAGAATAATCTAGTAAGTGTAACAAAACAATTTTTGAATTAAATGAAAATTATTTAAGTGTTTTGGATGAACTTTGGAAATGTGAAAAGGACTGAAACGTACCGGAATCCATAAACAAAATAAATAAAATATGACATTATCGCTCCGGCTATATCCGACAGCTATTTATATAAATAATTATCGGCTTTAATATAGAATGGTGCCTGGGCATTCTTTCACGTAAGATTTCGCGAGCGACATGCCTCGCAGTGATAATTGGATGGCCAAAGATCAGAAAACGGTACGTTTAAGAATGTCGGACGCTCATTTCTACACTTCGACGTGAATTTTAATGGCGGATTATGGCACCCGGCAACGGTTAATCGTAATCCACGCAGCGGCGTCTGTTGCGAAAATATTGAACGCGACAATTATATCTTAAATCGCCTCAGAAACAATTACGCATTTGCATATACGTCGAAAAATAATTTCCCGCAAAAACGAACGCTAGAAAAGCGTATTTACATATGGAAACACGCCGCTGAAACTTAACACTTAATGCCCCCCCAATTTCCCGGCAAAATTAGCAACTAATATCGCAAATTGTTACGCATTATCTTAATGCCATATTATTTAAGACTTAAATAGTGCACGTCTGAAATTACGTCGAACGCCCGCACGCAGCATTTTTTTTATTGGTTTCCTAATATACGAGGTGTGTTTATTTGCATGGCGTTCGTATAATTTACTTCACTCGTAGGGGGGTACTTTGCATACCCGCAACAATTTTGTATACGTTAGTAAAATAGAGACATATTTCAGCTATTGCGCACGAAATTAATGCCGCATCAATAAATTTCAAGCACGTGTTGCTCGACGGTCGGGCGTTGATACATAATTTGCGCTTCTAATTGAATAGTTTCCTCTCCATTTGCCAAACAGGCTCTCATGAACACCCACCACGAAATATACACAACCGCATGGAGCTTTCGAAAAGCTGCAGGTGCAATAAACCAAGCCTTTAAGGTTTACGGCAATCTTTATATTCTTTTTCTTAATTATTCAAATATTGGACCAAGAGATATATACGATTGGTGCAGCTGTAACTGGCTTTAGTTATAGAAACCATAATTACTCAATCCGACCTCCATAAAATGCTTAGGTTCTCATTTTGATCCACATTTAACATGGAAATTATAATAACAATAACAATAATAAATAGTCTTTATTCGTTAAATTACGACTATTACAAGTTCGGAGCGACATCCAACATCTTGTGCAACCCCTTAAAGCAAGCAACCACTCCCAGATTATATATACACATATTACAATGACTAGAAAACCTTATAGCAACGTTTGAATGGGTCTGAATTATGCTTGGGTTCCTTATGGCGCATGGCATTAAACAAGCAGGTTTTGAACTATCTAAAAATAATTAAATCGCGGGTAAACATCTCCACACTAATCGTCAACAGCGTCCGAATATGTGCAATCCTGTTACGCCTCCGCTTTCTTGCAGAAATATTTAAAAAAGTGTGCCAGTTCTGCTTCCTGTTTTGTCACCACGAAAAGTAAAATACGTTTTTTCAATTAATGAACTTAATGGAGGTAAGTTCAGGCTACTTATATCATTAACGACATGCTAATGTTGTTTTCTGGATTCCACGTGACTGTTATTTAATTGAACTTGTGTTCTTCTTCCATTACCTAAAGTAAATTCTTTACTTTTGCTTAGAGATATCTCAAAAATCGAGCAAAACGATATCGCTGTTCCTTTTATATGAATGCTCATTGTCTCAT